TCCCTACACAGTACAGGAAGTCCCCTACATACGAACCTTCAAGTTGTGAGCTTTCAAAGATGCAAACGTGTTTGCATGTCTAATCACGTAAGTTAGTTCATGTGTCTGGCGTACATTGTCACATATGTGCGTCCTCTACAAGTGGTTTGGTTTTGTGTACTTTACAGTACTGTATAGAGTACAGTAGTACAGTATCTTTATTTCAAGCCCAGGATGTCTGGAAGCAAACATAAAAGCAGTGGTGATGTAGCTGGTACTGCTAAGAAGTGCCAGGTATTGGAGGCCCAGAGAGAGGATGAAGAGAGACAAGAGGAAGAAGAAGGAACTGAAGAGATTCATGACGCAGGAAATGGCAAGGGGATTTTCTTTATTTGAGGAGGCACTGTTAGTTTTTGAGACACAGGACCTGAACGTAGAATGGTACACAAAGGTTGCAGCAGCCATTCAGAAGGCAATCCAGTGCTACCGTGTCATCTATGACGAGAAAAAAAGCTACTACCCAGACATCACTGGATCGTTTTTTAAAGAGGGTAGATAGAATTGAATCCAGTAAGGAACCAGAAGCTGTGCCATCAACGTCAGGCATGAGTGAAATTGCATCTTGCCCTCCGTCTCGTATTGCTGACGATCCTTCTGCTCTACCATCTCCCACCTCTTCTCCCTCCTACAATCAGTAACTCTTCTTGCCTGTTCACTTGATGCCAGCCCCTGTATGCCAGGTGTTGTGCTATACTACTGTATTTTTCAAGGTACTGTACTGTAAGATTAAAAATGTTTTATTTTTTTGTTTGTTTTTTATGTATTATTTGTGTGAAAAGTATTATAAACCTATTACAATCCTGTGCTATATAGCTGATTGTTAGTTAGTTAGTTGGATATCTAGGCTAACTTTGTTGGACATAGGAACAAATTGGACTTACGAATGCGCTCTCAGAACAGAACTTGTGCATATGTAGGGAACGTACTGTATTTCTTGCCACATGACCATCTCCATCCCACCTGGCAGGAGATGTCAAATGATTACTTCCTCAAATTCATTTTCCATCTTATCAGTGAAAGAACGGTAGAAGACTAGAGGGCTGAGATCTGTAGGTACTTGGAGTTTTGTGTTTGGGGTTAATGGATCTTGGGCATACTTACATAATTACATGAGTACTGAGTCCAAGTTGTCATATAGACCATTCTCAGCAGGGCTCCTACCTACCCCTATCCTCTTGCTCTGAACATCCCCAAA